TTCTTAAAAAGTACTTTAAACTGTATAAATACAATTGAAAGCGATTGACCAATCAGAAGAAAGTTATCCTATATCCACTAACCATAACTGCGTCAAAAAGGTAATCCTACTAAACTTCACTCCGCTTTAGCCGACTACCGGATCGGATCCATCGGGTTAAATCACTAGTCATCAATTTAACTAGCCAATCAAATTTCAAGATCAGGAAACGTAACTCAAAATTTAGTATACGAAACCCTTCTGCGCCCTAATAAAAAACATTTTCTTGCTAAATTTTGCAACTTTAACCTAATGAAAAAATTTTGAGTGGCGATTTAACCAAGATAATCCATCAGCATTTAGCAATACAAGTCAACCATTTCTGGGCCAAAATTATCTGTTGGTTACTTTACTTAATGAGTGGGCTATCACTATCGCTATGGCTTCATTGGTAAAACTTTAATGATCTTGGCAAAATCAGTTAATTCCGGCCCCGCCGAACACGATTCCGAGGTATTCCGATTCGGAAATCTAGGAACCTCCCTGTATGAGTTGTTGTGGCAATACATATGCTCCCAATTTTGAAATGAAATTAGGGTTTGTTTTTTTTTTAACTTTAAAGTCAAATAACTTTTAATCTATAAGGTTTTAAAAAAAATAATTTTATTACTATTGTATTCGTCTCAAATCCAATTACAGGATCACGAGATAATACTCTGTCAAGTAAGTGACCCACTTTATATATGTTATACAATTGGTTAGACCCAACAGATTGACAGGACTTAGGCCGAACACGTGATAACTTCGGAAAGCTTAGAATTTTGTTTACGTTAATGTTTTGGTTTGATGGAAGTTCTAATAGTAAAATCACAAGAAAATTTTTTACTTAGGGCACAGAAGGTGAGATACAGTATTCGAAAAGAGCGTCACCTGATCGTGACTTCTCATTGGCTAATTTTGGCTCGAAAATCACGTGTTCTGAAAATCGATCCTACGCCCCGGCGTTGTTGTCTAACCAATTGACGACATATAAAGTGCATTACTTACTTGACAAGGCATTATTTCTTGATCCTGTAATGGATTTGGGTGATTTTGGGCTCGTTAGAATCGTCTTAAAGAGACGAATACAATAGTAATAAAATTAATAAAATTGTTTTTTTTAAAACCTTATAGATTAAAAGTTATTTGACTTTAAAGTTTAAAAAAAAACCAAACTCTAATTTCATTCCAAAAATTAGCGCATTTGAAGAACCCACTAATATACCTTGCTGATTATTAGTGTGGAACGTATTTGAAAATTTTGTTCTTATACTACAATATGAATATTTGAAAGGTTACGATTTTGGTGTCTTTAGATAATTTACATCACACAAGATTATATAATATACAGTATATAAATTTCCTACACAATTTTTTTTAACAAAGATAAATATTTATCATAGTGATTTATTCATAAATTTCCTCTTCTGAAAACACATCCACCATTTACTAGGTTTACCATCAACATATACCCTATCAACCAGTCTAGTGGCTAGTTCCTGTCGAAGTTGCATTAAATATTGACGCAAAAGATCTAAGAAAAATAATACCAGTTAAAAACACTAAATAATAATAATAATTATCACTGAGAAATAACTATGAACCTGCATCATTTCTATTAGCTGGAGATGAATACAACGCATTCAATGGAAACGTTGGATCTCCAGGTAGCGCAAAATGATCTGTTGCACGAGTGTTTAAGATCTTTATCGCTTCTTTAGACGAAGGATTCTTAACGAGTTTGTTCAAACAATCAGAAATGAACAAAATAAGATAAATTAGAACTCGGTCTGCATCGCCTTTGATTTCGAAATTACGAAATAAACAATTTGCGCGAAAGAGATCTAAAGCTTCATCAATAATATCATCCTCGGATGGTGGTGCTGTAAAGATTAACAAAATCGGTGAGTTGTAATGATTGTGATGCTGCTTTATTATATTGTTGGTTCACGTAAGCTAGCTTTAATCTCACCTGGTGTTGCAGGTCCTCTAATTTTTGTTTTTATAGGTAACAGGACCATGTTACCAACTACTCGAAATTCAGTTCTTTCATTAAACTGAGAATGATATGCCTGTGCGTTTCATTCATAAATATAAATTCTTTAATAATTGACATAGTAATGAACTTTGCTTACCGGCATGGTTTATTTTAGACTTTAACCGCACTATTAAAAATTTGGTCAATAATTAACCGCAACATAAATCAGGTTTGATTTCATAGGTTGATCTGTAAAAATTTTGATTGGCTAAAATTAAAGATCGACTTAGACCGTTAATTTTATAAAGGGCGTCCTTAAAATAGACCAGGGGTTTATATTCCTTACATAATAATTAGTAATATCGTTATAATATTTTATAATTATATAATAAAACTAATACTAGTGGAGATATAAAAAAGGTCTTATCAAACACCCGGTATATGTTGCGTCAGATGACTACCAATAATTGGCCTGAAGTTTCACCCTAACCCATATAGGATAACTTTCTTCTGATTGGTCAATCGCTTTCAATTGTATTTATACAGTTTAAAGTACTTTTTAAGAA